TATGGCTCTCCATGTATGGCTCTCCATGTATGGATCTCCATGTATGGATCTCAATGTATGGATCTCAATGTATGGATCTCCATGTATGGGGATGCACCTGGATTGCTTGGGTGAGCCCAGTGCCTAACAAGGGCTCTTGTCAGATACAAAGACAGGAAGAAATTAGATGGTATAGAAGTTGCTACAAGGAAGGCTTTGAAAATGGAAGAAAGAATGGTGTATGGCTCAGGGGGCTAGGGGTGGGGTGAACGTAAGTTATCAGTGACTTAGAACTTCATGAAGGAACCAGTTCTGCTGATGCCTTCACTATAGGTGAGTAAAACTAGCTTGGACTGTGGAGAGACGGTTTGTGTGTTTCAAGTCACTGTGTGACAGCAGTCCTAGGGAACTAATACACCTCACCAACACTTAACCTCGCCTCTCTGAGGAGGGTTGCTGACTCTTACTGCTGTCCCAGCTCAACAGGAGCCTCATTTAGTTATGTGGCCAACCTGTATGGAGCTGAGTGTAACCCTAAGTCAATCAATCAATGTGCCTCCAGAGCACAGTGTCACTTTGAGTGGAATTGCTAATCGCTGTGTCTTTTGTGCATTCTCAGGCTTGGGGAGCAAGCCCCTCATTCTTAAGGCACGGGTGCTGGTCACCACTAAGTCCACTACAGGCTTAGTTTTTAATGTTGTTTGCATTGAAGGGTGACAATTTACACAAGTGAGTGTCACTGAGGAAGCTGGGCTCCCCAGGCCTTCTCAAGGAAGCAGCAGCAGAAGCCAGTGCTGTCAGCTTCCATGTCTCCAGAGCTGGCTCTTTCCCTAACTAAAGCTCTGTGTCAGCACTTAACGTTCTCCATGGAGTTGTGACCCGACTCAAGGACACAGAAATCACAGGTGTTGCTTCCATTAGACCAGAGACAGTGGCATCTTAGGGGAAATTGTGAAGAGGCCCTTCACTGTCCCCCTCAAGCACCATGGGCTCTGCCTGGAAACAGGAGAAGATTTGGATCGAAGAGTGCTCAGAGAGGCCGGAAATCTCTGATGGTCATTGCCATGGAAACAGCACACTTCCTCATGTGATGACAAAATGAACACTAGCCGAGAACTAGGGTGTGGGTCTCTGCTTCTCTGACTCAGAAGAAACTAAGCTTGTCATATCTCCTCTGCTTCCCAGAGATAGTCTAGCTGGGTCCAGACTGAATGTCTTTGTCTTTCTGTCACAGGGGCAGGTGCCATCACAGCTAAGCCCTTTCCTCGATCTCGGAGAAAACACACAGATCCTCACATTCTTTGCCTCTGCCTTACATTTTGGTTTGGGGTAATGTGTCTGTCTACACACCAACGTATCACCAGCTGCTTACCAGTGTCAAGCAACTAGAGAACCCTGAAATCCAAGGTCTGCACTCAGTAGAGATAGATGATAGGGTGTGGGACAGAAGAGAAAGGTGAATAGGCATCTCAAAAAGTACCATGCTGGCCCACATAAGGGTCGGAAAGGAAAAGCCGAGAGGAACAAGCAGGTGATAAAGCTTGCTTTTAAGTTGGGAGGGCTACTCAACGTTCTCTGTTCTGAAGACTCAGTCCCATATCTCTCCTCCTTCTAGCAATGCTCCAATGGTGCCCAAGTGGAAGAGGTTCTAGGTTAGAACTGAGAGACCCAGGTTCAAATCCTGGCCATACCCTGCTTCTCTAAGAACTGCATTTTGCTCTCCACTTCTTAGAGGTGCTGGAAGGATGCTCCCCGGGATTCTTTGTCTAAAGGACATTGATGTGATCTGAACCTGAAACCAGGTCTCCTGTGTTCAGTTTTCTCATACAAGGGTCTACAAAGGATAAAAGATGCACAGATACCCATTGGTACCTGCTCAAGGCAAGAGAATGGCACTTCTCCTGGGAAGGTTATCACCTGAAAGCCTATGCTATGACTATCAGGCTGTGTGTGGAGGTGAGGTGCTTGGCCCACACTCTCCCAGAGGCTTTATCTTTTGATTCAGAGACTGCTACGATTTATGAGAAAGTTTGTGTCCAAAGCCTTGTGTTTAGCATGTTATTAGAAAGGGTGCTCATTCTTTTAGGTCTTTGTCATAGGGCAGAGACAAATCCTGCAGGAAAGCTTTCTGAACAAGCTCTAACTGTGTCTTATTGATTCAGAATGATAGAGAGAAAGATATAGACACAATAGGTACACACACACACACACAGAGAGAGAGAGAGAGACAGAGACAGAGACAGAGACAGAGAGAGACAGAGACAGAGAGATTCACAGGGGAGGAGAGAGAAAGGAAGGAAAGAGAAAAAGAGAGGGGAAAGCAGAGAGGGGAAGGGAAGAGGGGGAAGAGGAGGAAGAGAAGAAGAAGAAGAAGAAGAAGAAGAAGAAGAAGAAGAAGAAGAAGAAGAGGAGGAGGAGGAGGAGGAGGAGGAGGAAGAGGAGGAGAGAGGGAGAGGGAGAGGGAGAGGGAGAGGGAGAGGGAGAGGGAGAG